GAAAGGGGTTTCAGGTACCCCCATCCTACCATTTGCAATGGATCTATAGCCAATGTGAAAGTGGTGTATCAACCTGAAGTGGCTGAACTGCCTGAAGGCGGTTTTAGGCAACCCCATATATAGATCCACACATAATCTGAAAGTGGTGTAGTAACCTAAAGTGCCTCAACTGCCTGGAAAGGAGACCAGAAAATATATGCACCCGTTAACCATCTCTCGGACACGTAGCTGTCCAGTGGAGAGAACGCAAATACGAGGCTCTTTGGTGCCCTGTGAACCGTGCCAGTACACAAGACCGTTGTCCTCGAGAGAGTTGCTCGGGACGATCTTGCCACTCCGAAGGGTCGCGTGGATGTCGCGATAGTCGGGGCAGTGGCGGTACTGAGTGCGAAACTCGTCAATCACCGAGTGGTGGACGGAGGTGACAGAGATGAAAGCGAGCTGGATCTGCTCCTGATCGTGGTCAGGGCGCCGGGATAAGGCATCTGTGACCCGATTAGTCTCACACTTGATGTGCTCAGTGGTGAAACTAAACTCGGATAGGTTGCGCCACCAGCGAGCCTGTCGAGAAGTGAGCTTCGGTTTTGTCAGAAAAGCCTGGACAACAGAGTTGTCCGTGCGCACCGTGAATGGTGCCCCGTGCAGGTAGTGACGCCAATGCCGAGCGGCATAAACTACTGCGAGAACCTCACGTTCATCAACGGTGTAGTTTATCTCGGCGGGCAGGAGATGACGGGAGTAGAAGGCTATCGGACAATCACCTGAGCGAGACTCGACAATGTCATCCTCGACGATGGCAGGAGAATAGTCAATAGAGGGCTAGAAGGCTCGTCAGTAGCTGGACGAGTAGGCGTTAGGCGGGAGGCAGTGGTAGGGATAGGGGGTAGGAAGCGAGGAATACGAGGATGAGAGGAATCAGGAGAGGAGGGAAAATCTGATAAAGCACTGCTCCTACAGCAAAGTCTGACGTATCGGTGGTAAGGATAAAAGGGCGATCAAAGTCGGGTACGTGAAGAACCGGTGCACATGTCACTGCCTTCTTGAGGGCGCGGAACGCGTCATCGTGGAGGGGTGTCCAAGCCCAGGGCGGGTTCTTCCGGAGGAGGGTGGAGGTAAGGACGTAGGAATACCTAGCGTATCCCTAGATGAAATTACTCTAGTAGCTGGTAAGGCCTAGGAAGCTGCGAAGCTGCTTGGCGGATGTGGGGACGGGCCACTCCGCAATAGGAGTGATCTTCGCGTCGTCCATGTGGAGATCCTTGTCAGACACGTAGTGTCCTAAGAAATCCACATTGTGCTAAGCAAAGCGGCACTTGCTCAGCTTGGCGTAGAAGTCATGTCTGCACAAGCAGTCAAGGACGTCGCGGAGGTGTCTGAGGTGCTCCTCAAGGGTACGACTGTAGACCAGGATATCGTCGGGATAGACGAGAACGTACTGCTCCAGATGTCGTTCATCGCCCTCTGGAAGGTAACAGGTGTGTTGGTGAGGCCGAATGACATCACCGTAAACTCATAGTGGTCGAAGCGTGATCGGAACGCTGTCTTCGGTTGGTCCGCTGCAGCTACGAGGATCTGCTGGTAACCGCTACGAAGATCAATCTTCGTAACGAAGCGGTTGCCTTCTAGGCGGTCGAACAGCTCGTCAGAACGAGGCATGGGGTAGATGTTCTTAACCGTGTAGCGGTTGAGACCGCGATAGTCGATGAAGAGACGGAGAGTTCCATCCGCTTTGCGAGCAAATCGGACGGCTGCAACCCATGGGGAGTTGTTGGGTTTAATGAAACCCAGTCTCAGGAGCTCCTCGAGCTGACGCTTGAGTTCGGTGACCTCGGGGATCGAGAGTCGATAGGGTGCCTGGTGGTGAACACGATAGTCGGGCACAAACTGCATGGAGTGTTCGACGTCGCTCATCGGTGGGATGCCGGCGTACGAGAACGACGATGGAAAAACGTCGTGGTACTCTCGAATGAGGTCACAAACTGCGGGCTTCAGGTCAGCCCTATACCGTGCGAGTTGCTCAGCATCAGCGTCAGCGCGCGACGGCGGGGTGGACTCGACGGACGGCGGAGGGTGGGAAGTAGAAATGGGAGTCATGGAAATAGAAGGAGGATTTGGCTCCAGAGGGATGAGCTTGGCGTCGGAACAGGGTGGATCATATCATCATAGTGTAAGAGATCCGTCACGTTCACCATAAAGAAGGTGACGTCGTCCTGTCGGATGAACTGGCCGAACTGCCGAGGCAAGGTGACAGTAATAGAAGGAGATGGTGTGGGCACGGAAGGCTCCAAGGGAGGAGGATCGGGGCGTGGTGTCGCAGTCGTACTTATGAAAGGTACGCGATACGTTTGTCCACACTTCTTTTTGAGATTAAGAGCATTGGTCGCCCAATAGGCCTCGGTGCTGCGGAACCGCCGAGACAACGGAAAGTCGAGAATGAAGTCGTACCCCATCTCCATCACATCGAAATGTGCAGAGGAGCAGTGGCGACGAGACGCCGGGGGACGATCGGTCAGCTCGAGGGTGAGGAAGACGGGAAGGTCGGTGACCGTCTGATCGAAGAAGCGCAAGGTCTTGTCATCCCCTAATGTGACGGAGATGGGAGTTGGAGACCCTATCGTGGGTAAGCGGGCTTCTTTTACCACGCGTGGGTGAATGAAGTCGCCCCGAGAACCGGAATCCCACAGCGCTGAGTTCACCCTCGTGGAGGCCCCCAGTCGTACTGGAATAATCGGGAGGGTGCGATCAGCATCAGAGAGGATGGGCCTGACGCGGCTCTTGGCGATAATAGCAAATATTCAAATAAGAACTTTGAAGACCGAAGTGGGGGAAGGGCTCTGTGCCGCTGGTCCTTGCAGTCCGCGGTCCGCCCCGATGCTTGGCCCGCCATCTTTTGCGTCCCAACGAGCATGCAAACACTCAAACCACTCACTGGCTTGCATGGACGTCGAACTCCTCGGCCCGTACTCCGAGACAGTGGGACCGAAGGCCCTCACCAGCGTCCCGAACACGCAAAGAAGCTTTAAGTCAATGAAAAAAGAGGCGTGTGCTCAAGATCCCCGACCGCCACGACGATCTTTGACTCCGGCGCCGCGTCTGAGCCAAGGAACGCAAGAGCCAAATAATAAAAAAATAATATGACAATAAATAATACAAACATTTAGAATTTTTTAATCGCCCGAATATGATGAACGAGGAAAAGGGACTACTAGTACCTTTCCGGCGCCGCCATCGACAAAACCAGGGGGGATAGCCCTGTCGGGCCCTGAACCCCTTGGTCCCTTCGCGCTACTCTGATATCTCCGTGTCACCGCCGCTCGATTTCGATCCCTGAACCTCCCGAATGGGACTCCCGAATGGGAGTCCGACCCCGTAACCAATAGTGCTAAGCCCAAGTTTGGATCTAGTATTGACTGACACCTAAATAAAAGGATACTATGCGACGCGCAGATCTACCGAAACGTTTCAAACCCTAAGATCGGCTTATCAACAGAAATCACGGTCGTCAACCTTTCGCGTCCACCGCCAGACTATACCGAACCATGCCGCCGTCGATGTCGTCCTCCGCACGTAGGCACAAGTAACAACAAGCGCTTCAATCAACGACAAATAATCTTTTTAATCCTAGTTTAATCAGAAAAATAAAACTTAACAGCGATTTCGTCAAAACGGACATTTTTTATTTTTTGTACGAAATTGAAAGTCCAAACTGCAGCCAAAATTTGATGAAATTTTGGGTAGGGCATTCTGAAAACGCCCTACCCCCTCGATGTTTCTAGACTCAGCCAGAGTCCAGATACATCCAGGCGGGTACGGCGTTCTGAAAACGCCGTATCCCCCTGGATGTATCTGGACTCTGGCAGAGTCCAAAACATCGAGGGGGTAGGGCGTTTTCAGAACGCCCTACCCAAAATTTCATCAAATTTTGGCTGCAGTTTGGACTTTCAATTTCGTACAAAAAATAAAAAATGTCCGTTTTGACGAAATTGTTGTTACTTGGCCGGCAACTATGCCGGCTTCACAATCATCAATAGGAAGGGAGATCACGCGCGCCTTAAGTCTGTGCGCCCACACACTCTCCGCTCTAGTCAACCATCCAGCCAACGTAAACCACAGACACGGTCGCGCCTTGTGCGGTATACCTAAACTTTAAATCAAACTTATTTTCTGTTACTTGCAAAAAACAGGGTGGATACCCTTGTAAGGGTATTCGCACCGACACCGGGCCACTCAGGTAACTTAGGAAGTACTGGCACATGGACTTAGAGGCAATCAGCAAACTAAGGAAGAGGCTGGGGCCCCACAAATATTTTGACTATCCTCATGCCCGAGGGTTAGGATTTAGGGTTTAGGGGTTTGGGGTTGTTCACACACGAATATTCTGTTGCTGTGAAACATTCTCTAAATAGTTCAGAACAATGTAGTTTTTTTTTTCTTCTTTTTTAACAACAGCCTGTATGGGAGATAGGGGCACTAGTACGAGCAGACGCCTCTATCTTCCCCTGGGAGCTATGAATCCCCCCCGGCGGCGGACAGGCGCGGCCAAGTCCGCGGCCGCGGCTAGTCCGCGAAGCCCGCGGACGTGTCCGCGCGGAGACGCGGATTCGCGGACACGTGGCGGCCGCAGGGGAGGGAGCTTCACGATTCTGCCGGCGCCACGTGGCGGCGCATCCCCTGCCCCACCCCCCCACACAAAAAAAAAAAACGAAAAAGATTAACTTTTGTTGGGGGGGGTATGGGCGAAATCCAACGAAATTGGAAAAAAAAAAAAAACGCGTTTTTTTTTGCGTTTTTTTTTTCCGTTGATTTCGCACACACAAACGCGCACACACACACAAACGCGCGCGCACACACATAAACGCGCACACACACACAAATGCGCACACACACACAAACGTGCACACACACAAACTCACACACTCACACACTCACACACACGCACACACACAAACGCGCACACACTCACACACACACACTCACACACAAACGCGCACACACACACA